ATTACTGGTTCAAATGGTTCAAAAAAAATTTGAACCGGTCGACCCACCAGATGTCCCTTTCCTTTTTTTGATGCACACTACAGTAACCATAACCATTGGAGTTACGCGTATCAGATCAAGAAAATCAACTTTTTTTTTCACTCAGATTTGGTAAAAATTTTGCTAAACCATTGGAAATGCTCTAACAGAAGATCTCAAGGCTAAAATCTTTGATTTCTCAAAGTACTGTAGATTAGCCAAGCTGAATATTACGTTATTAGAGCTCGACTATAAAGATGAGCTCAGCCAGTAGATTAACCTCAGCTCATCAACAATAAGAAAGGATCAAAATGCCTCACATGGTTCCCCCACCGAGGAAGAAACTAAGGAGGCAACTTGTGGCTAAAAAAGCCCATTTAAGTATTATCTCATTTGGAAAACCCAATTCCTGCCCAGAAAAACCCACTTTAGCCACTAATTACCTTATTTCCCATCAAAAAGCTCACTTTAGCTACTTTCCTATTTTGCCCTTCATATTTTCCTACTTTGCCCTTCATAAAAAAGAGCCAAAACTAGCAAGGGGCTTATGCTAAGCCATTTGAAAACCCAAAAAAGTAAGGAACGTGCCAAACAAGCTAATTTTTTTAACTTTGACTTTTTTTTTGTAAGACTACTTTTAGTTTTCAAAAATGCTTGGGACCACCAAAGTTGGGGATCCCATGACCCCCCAAATGATGTGGACTAATCATGGTTTTTTTTTTTTTTTTTTTTTTCCTTCTTAGACCAATCACAGGTGAGTAAGGGTTGTGAATGTTGTGTTTTTTGGGGGTTTATAATATTGTTGTTTAGTTTTTTAGGTAACTTCCCAAGGATGCCTAAGGCTTGCCCCAATCAACTTTGCTCAAGTTTAGTTTGACTCACCTGAGTTTCACTGAACGTCATACAGTTTTTTACAAGGAGAAGATGGAGAAGAAAGAGGAGTTACAAATTACCTTAAATCCCTATTAGCATGTGAACAAGCCAGTTTTCCTTCAGCACGGTCACAAGAACTTGAGCAATAATTTGCTAGAACACCTCAAACTTGAACATTCTATTGTTCTCCAAACCCATGACTACAGATGTTAGGTCCCCACCATCTATTGCAGACTAACACAACACAAACCCTCCTTCGACCTCTCTCTTACATCCAATCTGTAAGAGGGAGATTTTAAATGAGAACCATAGAAATGCAGCGGAATAGAAAAACAAAAATCCCTAATCCCTGTTTCATGAAAAGGTGAAACTTATAAATTTGTGACCCACAAATGATTTTAACAGCTCAATCTTGGATATGTATTCTTGCCTCCTAATAAACGGAGCCAATTTTATCACGCGTGCGCGTACACACACACAACACAGAGGAGGATAACAAAACCCCTAGCCAAACCTGAAAACTGAACACCAAAAAACCCATCCACACAGCCATGACCAAAAATGAAAATAAGAATAAACAACAGCATCACAACAAGGATAAAATAAATAAATAAAAATATAAAGAATTTATGAGAAAATCAGAATTTATCGTAAAGCATATTATGAGAACAAAAATGTCTAAGACCCCCTTTTTTTCCCGCCCCCTTTGACCTCATCTCTCTCTCATTGGTTGGATTTTCTTTTCTTTTTTTTTTTTGTTTCCCTTGTCCTCCAATCACCACCTGCCACATGTGTGTGGGGGTGGTGATTGGAGGGGGTCTCCATCACTCCTCTTATGAGAAAAGGAAAAGGAGGAATATAAACATTGAGAAAACACTCCCATCTATAACAAAATAAAATGCACCAACATATATGCATATTTATAACTCTGAAAATAGTTCAGTTCTCAAAATTTCCCTGTATAAGGCAGCATTTTAAAGCATACAGACTAAACCAAGTTTTGCAGAGGCAACTATGACTTGAAATAAAATGGTTCTCCATTTCTTTGTCCACTTAAACTTCTGGAGTTGAAACTGAGGTTGTCTTGAGATCTTATAAACCTGAAATTCAAAAATTGACTCGTCAGGGAAGATTTTGATTTGGGAACTTGAAAGTTGGCTTCTGCATCTAGATTTCAAATTGCATTTTCGACAAAGAGAAAGAATGGAATGGTACAAAAGATTTTCTCAATATTTTAGCACATCATAGGTATTGAGAAAACCTGCTCTTTTATGCTCAGGCACATGATAAAGCAACAGAATGTCATTGGAAGATTAGCAAACCTGCTCTTTTATACTCAGGCACTTCCAAGTTGCAGTATCTTTTGGCAGTGTGAGTATCTTTCAAAGCTGCAAAAGAATGGGTGCCACCACAAGCTGTACAATGTCTGTGGACTCAACAATGTGGTACCCAAAATACATACAATTGACTAACAGAAAGAACATTGACACACTTCGTGACAGGAGAGAAAAGTCAAAGCACAAACATTGGAAATCTAACATCTTGTCTCAATTGAATACTGGACAAGTTTCCGGAGGTTGAAAACAATAAGTGTACAACAAAATTACCTCAAACAGGAAATCAACAGAACATGCACATAGTAATTAATTCTCCAACCAGCCTAATATGCATTTTGGTTCTAAAACTTTGGCTTATCTGCATCCAATCTAATATATGAGAATGTAAGAATACAGGCAAGGCAAGTTTAAGAGTGTCCAATGATATCTCTGCAGTAATAAGAATAATCCTAGAACTAATAGCCATAACAAGCAGATGATTGCTTTGTTATTTTAACTGAGGGAAAAAATAAATATAAAAAAATATAACCCAAAAAAAAAAACAGTTAACTACTGTTTTTGTGATATTTTATAGACAAGTTATTTCAAGTTCCAACAACATCAGGAACAGCTTGAGAAGGGACACTTGAATTCTAGTGCAACATAACTCAAAATCCAAAGGTGAAGTCCACAATAATACTATCATGGTGGTTGCTACTTCAGTAATAAAGAGACAAAGAAACAAACATATAACATTATATTACAATCTAAAGTGGCAACACCATCCAGTTCCTCACATTATTACATAGACATTTCACTCTTTTTTGTCTATATCAAATGGATGAAAAAGTTGCAGTTGCAAAAACAAGCCAATGGGGCGCTTTTCTCGAGCCCTATCTAAACAGAGGTGATTATGTAGAGATAAAAGTGAATGTGACACTGAGAAATGATTGACTCGGAAAAACATCAGAGAAGTCCAAAATGTGACCTCAGTTTGCAGTCCATAGCTTAGGATGCATACATGAAAACAGATTCTGCATAGAGGAGTCGTCAATTCTTCTCTCTTCATGAGCAATTCATTTATTTCTTGACCAAAAAAAAAAATTGCTATTTAAAAGCCATCCCATTTGCATTTGAACTAAGATTTAACTGAGTGTAAATTTAAAACCTAAGCTCACAATTTTGCAGCTTCCAAACTGAAGAAGGCTCTTAATGGAATTGTTGAAAGTTTAAGATGAGTACATTTGGTTAACTGCGAATATCAAGCTAGAGGTATGGCTGTTTAACAGGTACAAGTTTACCTAGGTCAAAGGAGAGCTTACGTTCCATAGTAGATTAATGGAAAAACTACCAGACACTTCCAACACACCCAGTGCTGCAACAGGGCATCACAAGGCAAGAGGCTAAAACTGCTTTAATAGGACACAAACCATAGGCCATGGGCCAATAAGTATCGACATGTTTCTAAGCTTTTGTCAGAAATTAGATAACACCAAATAAGATGAGATCATTTTTATAGTGGCTTAAAGGCAAAACAGACAAGACATTTCAAAGACACCCGCACAAAGTGTGGTCATAGAGTATCAACCATTAAGAAGCTAAGACTACTTGGCATGACATGTCAGAATTTTATGGAACACAATAAATAGAAAGTTGAACCAAAGAGCCATCATCCATGCACCAATTAACATCAAAATATTTATATATACCCATTTATAATAATTCTCAAAATTGTAAAAGTGTATCAAATAATCCCCAACAACAATAAAAACTTTCCATTTAAAACCACATCACATGACAATAAGCACCATATCAACATGGGTGGGAGCTATGTATGCATGTATTAACAGACATATAAATTATTACATATAAGATTTTGAAAAGCGATTGCAGTTGCAGTAATAGTTACGGTTACGCAGCAGCAGCAGTTACATTGTATAAAGGCCGTAGCGTAACGATTGCGGTAATCGAAACTGTGATTTTTTTTATTTTTCGCACAATTTGAAGAAAACTTACTGATACGTATATTTTTTATTTTTTTTTTAGAATCACATTTATTGAGACTTAAAATAAATTTTGATTAATTTTTGTTAAGTTTTAAGTATGATCCAAATATTTAATATTTTCAAATCACTATAAAAGGAATTTTTTTACATTTTATTTCAATAGTTAATGATTTTAAAAATAATTGATTTTAAATGTCTACAAATTATTTTTTAACAATACTTGAACTAACTGAATAAAAAACATTCACAATTATCAAATGAAAGGATTATAAAATAAAAATTATACCATAAATTAAAAAAAAAGTATAAAGAAAAATAAAATTCATATAAGATTTTTTCTTTGAACTTGGATCACTTGAGCTTTTTTGTAAGTTTTTGTTTTTTGTTTTTTTATAGAAAGGAAATTATTTAGAATATAACAAAAGAGTGTAACAGTGTCTAACGGACCGTTACGGTACCGCTACAGCCGTTATGTAACACGAAACAACCGTTACACAAGTAAATTTCCGTCACACCACTATAACAGCCGTAACTGGTGACAGTAACCACCACAACCATAACGTAATAATATTACGTAACGGTTGCGGTCACCTTTTAAAACCTCGATTACATACCAGAATTATTTGGGGATCAAGATAGGTGCTAGACCGAAAGCCCACCTACATGTCTTCCAAACATCTCAATTTCAAGGCATGATTATAACATAATCTCCATGACTATAATACAATCCATATGGGGTTCACATAGTTTGCCACACAGTAAGACCTTCATAAGAAGCTTCCCAAAATATAGAAAGATAGATACATATAAAAGGAAAGTAAAATAACAACAAAATTAAATTATCTCAAAATACCTTGAAAAGGAAGAATTTCAGGTAACACTAAAAACGGAATAGGAAAGAAGCTTTCAAAAGTTGAAGGCCATAACATGGCAAACAAAAAGTTATAAAAGAAAATACGTGTAGAGAAGCCAAGCGGCTATACTTTACAGAACCACATACAGCAAGGACACCTAAAAGCATGTGAGAGGCTCCAATCTTCTGTATACATAAATATACAACCCACTTCCAACTGTGAAAATGGAATGAATGGCACCTAACAAACTCCTGATTATTATGTTAGAGTGGGTTAACCCAACTCTATAAGACTCTACACAATCTCCCCATGCCTGAATCCACTATCACCACAATCTGTAGTGGAGTCCAACGCACAAGGGGAATCATACCATTTAGGATTATCCGGATAGAAACTGTCAACCTGTATACCAACAAGACCTACATCTGATACTATATTCTCGTCATGCCTCATGGGCTTGGTTAATTTGGAATCCTCGCAGTCAAGAATGCTCTTCTCATCGAACTCCCCACATTTCAGCCACTTTTCAGGTTTGCAAGAATCGCCCAGCAGATTCTTCTCGCTCCTACACTCTGTTCTCATCTGATCCCAAGACGCAACATCCCCGAGGGTTCGCCCAAAGCTGTCTTCATCTTCGTCAATCAAATCTCCATCCTTACCATCCCCATATATCCTTTCGTGGTGATGATCATCCCAATCAGCCAAATCGCCCTCTCCCACCAACAAATCATCCGAATGCGACTTGTCAGAAAGCAATCCAATGGGCTTTAAACTATATTCACCTATCGATCTAAGTTTATTCACAGCATCATACAATTCTTGTGAGACTGACCCCAATTGCTCACGAGGCATTTTTGCAATTCTCCCTTCAAGCGACCCAATTACATTCCTCAATTCCTGCACTTGCTGTAGAACCGACTGCTGCAGATCCCCTTCATCCTTTCCCATGAATGCAAAACCCTCATTTTCCATTTCCTCGCTCATCCCGTACACTGTTTCTGGATCCATCAAATATCCCCCTTTATGTCCCACCACTCGATGCATAATCCTAGCGTTGCCATCTAACGGTCCAGGTTCATGCCCCGAATGCACCGCATACAACTTAAATACCGCCACCCCTTCTTCTTGATACACAAATGTCTTATCCTTCTCATTGTAATTAGCAATTGGCACAATTGCCCTTATCCGAAACCCACAACCGCAACGCTTTGATGCATACGGTTCCCTCTTCAAAATCTTCGATTTCTTCGACGACGCTGGCTCTCCAGCCCGATGACACGCGTAATCCTTAACCTCTGCCATAAATGGTTTATACCTAATATACTTCTGCCTAATACACAACACAACCTTATGTTTTGCTGCCAATTGTTGTAACTTGTGTGGCACTTCCTTAGCTGGCACATCAAATGACTCCGTGTACTCAAACCGTCGCCGTTTAGTCCTTTGCATTGACCCGGAAGAATCAGAGCACACAGGGCATTCGGCAACACAAACCCTAATAAATGACTAAATGATTCAGGAATTCCATAAAATTTAGCACCTACAGTCCACGCTTGTTTAATTCTCTCTATAGTTTCTTTAAGCCCTAAGTGTTTCAAGTCAGCATCACCATGAAAACTCATAACTATGTCTTGCCACTGATTAATATGCGAAACAAATTGATTCGAATTGTTCTTGAAACACAAGAATTCGTTACCGTGAGGATCGACATGGACGTTGAGCTTGTCTTGGATTCGCTTCCACGCTGTTAGGTACGCCGTGTCTTCGTTCCGGTCCTTCCAAACGGCCCTCCAGCTCGCGAGCACAGGCCTGGGCGTCGCAGCTCTGATCTCTTCGGGAGTCGCGAGGCGAGATTCGAGTATGCAATTGATCATCAGAGAGTGAGATTCGGCGTTGAATGTGTAGAATTGAGTCGATATGTGAGGTTCGGGGTTAATGTAAACCCTAGGGTTGTTGTTTTGGGGGAAATCGTCGTTAGCGGCGGCGAGGACGGTGGAGAGCTGGTTGTTGGCGGCGGCGGAGGCGGTGGTGGTATCGTCGGCGTCGGAGGAAGTGTGACTCACTGAGTCGTCGTCGTCGGAGCGGAAGAGGACGAACTCGGACATCGAGAAGGGCTCTTGATGATGGTGGTGGTGATCGAGAATCGACGGTTGTGATTCGTTTGGATGGTCCATGATCGGAGGGTCCAGGTGGTCATGATGATGATGAAAGAGATCGTCTTCTATTTTGCTAGGATTCATAGCTGCCAAGGATTTCGACGCTCTCTTTCTTCGCTGTGTTTCTCTCTCTACAGTTTTGTTCAGTTTTCTGACAACGCGACTCGAGAGGGCTTCTTCTCGTTTCTCTCTCTCTCAACCTTTTATGTCTCTCTAATTTTATATTGAAAAATTTTTGACGTATTTTGAGGGGTAATATTTTTTTTTTTTCTCATAAAAAAAATTTAAAAAGTATATAATTTTTAACCGTCTTCTTCTTCGAACTCTCTTTTAACGCAATAAGATAAATAAAAAAATTATAAAGTTCTTTAAAAATTTTTTTTTTTTTTTTTTTACCTTGTCATAAGAGGCCTTATAAACTTGGCATCTCTTTTTATTTTGAGAAAATGGAAACATTATTATATTACTAAACAATAACATTATATAGGGGTGTTTGGAAATCCACTTTTGAGGTTAAAATAGTCTCAAACACTAAAAATGCCAAATAGGCTCAAATACCCTAAACCAATTATTTATATTACAAAAAAAAAAAATACAAATCGGCATGAGGCAGCCTACACTGTCAGTTGACAGTGTAGGTTCAGCATAGGCCCACAGTGTAGGCACATTTAGTAAATGACAACTTTGTCCCTTTAGATAAATTTTGAAAAAAAGTGAGGTTAGAGATAAATTTGTAATTTTAGCCTCAAATATCATTTCAAACACATTTTTTTAATACAACAACTCAAATAAAAATCTATTATATCTTCCCAAACACAATAACTAAAACAGTCTACTAAAATAGTCAAAAAACCTCTAAAATAGTCACTTCCCAAACACTCACATAAACAAGCCTCCAAATGGCCATCCCAATCAAATAACAAAACGAAAAAAAAAAATTGCTAAAAAAATAACTATGAGACAGGAAAAATCACTAATCTTCTCAAAGATTTAGTTTAGAAAGCAAGATCTGCTTGAAAGCTTGTTGTCCATATCAACGTCGTTCTCGTTGCTGCTGCCTAACTCCGCCGCTGCCGGACATCGAATACCGCCAGAAGCTAGAGTTGAAAAAGAAGTACACCCACAATAATGTGGAAAAAGGCTAGAGAGAAGAGGGAACCATTGTAATTGTCAAAAATTCAAAAAATTATGTCTAAATCAGGGGAAAAAACTCTCAAAACTCCTATTTTGGACATAAAAAATTCAAATCTACACTCGAAAACCATAGACTTATACTCTAAAAGTGTAAATCTATACTTTAAAAATATAAAGTAAATCACCAAATATCGTTGGAGTATCACCAAAAATACCTAGGGAGAGAGCTCTTTTTCTCTCTCTCTACACTTGAATCATTGGCATATATTTATAAATGAGTACGAGGGCAATGATACAGAACTTTAATTTGAGCTCTACTGAGCTAGCAAGAAGAAAAAAAAACCTACAGATACACACATCACATCATAGATGAGGCCCACTGTATTAGAGCTCTCTTAAGACTCTTTTTAGAGTTTCAAATCATTTTTGTTAGTACAAAAGTCTAATGTGTCGTAATACCTCTCCACTCATATCATTCATGCATAGTTTGTTTTTCTTTCTTTTTTTTAACATTTTCACACTTTGTTCTAAATAAATAAAATATTATATAAATTAATAAATTTCAATAAACTCTTTTTCATATTTTTTATATCTCATTTTAAATTTTACAATTTCATTATTGGGAAATTTTAATATGCATACATTTTAAAGGGGTGTACCAAATGCACTTATAGTTATGTCAAATTCTTTTTTATTTATGATTAATTTTTTTCTTTAGTTATGACAATATTTTAATTATAACTCATAAGATATTTGGTTATTTCTCATGTGGTGTTTAGTTATGACTCTTTTTTTTTAGTTACTACACAGAAAATATATATCATTTTCTTTTTTATTTCTAAGGTGCATATGGTACATATTTTTTGAGAGATGTATATCTTAATCTTTCCCATTATTATATGAATAAGAAGTATTTTTCCCCAAATAAGGAAAATTTATCCCAAAGTTCCATTCGTGAATAGTATGTACTGAAAAGTCTCATGAATTTACTTGTAAACTATTAAGTACTATTAAATTTGAAAAGAGTAATGCTAGAGATTCCAAAAGTTCTATCAAATGTCTCACATGGGTGTGGGACCCACATATGTGTGTACACCGTAAGTCCTATTAAATTGCACTATATTTTTTAAAGATTCCAAATGTGTGTATGTTTCATTTGAATACTATTATCTTATTAAATTTTTATCAAATGTGTCATTCTTAAAATATGACAATTTGATATCATTCTAATGTATATACTATTTTTTTTATAAAACTTTTGTTGAATCTATTATTCTTCTTAAAATGTGACAATTGGATATTTGTGTACTATTGTTTTATTAAACATTTGTCAAATGTATTGTTCTTAAAATGTGACAATAAGGCATCATTCAGATATATGCACTTATTACATTTCCAAATATGAGTATAGTTCATTTGAAAATATTTAATGTGAAATAAGACTTATAAGTTCATAAGAATATTTATGAGACTAATGGTACATAAGTCATGAATATAGAATTTATTAGTAAATGCCCATTAAAATTATTTGTATAGTATTTCTTTTAAACAAAAATTAAGGCATGGTATTTTAGGTTACATTTGGAAACAAATTAAATTAATCAAAAAATTAATATAAAAAGTCAATTCATTCTCTTTATATTTTTACATGTCTTTTTATAAAAAAAATTTTAAAAAATCAAATAAATCACTAAAAAAAATAATTCCCAAATAAATCCTAAATGTAGTCAATCTCTTTACTTTCACGTGATTGTTATGTAGTTAATTTTTTTTTGTCAACTTCTTATATAGAATCTCCAGATTAGTAATATTGTAGCTTGACGAGAAGCATAAAAATTAATTGTTAGGCAATGTTAATTTGCTAAAATAGAATGGGGTGTTCATTCTATCAAAATGTCCATTCTCATGTGTAGTTGACTAATGAAAATAATAAAAAAATACTTTTAAATATAGCATCATGCATCAATGTAATAGAATAATTATTTCATAAGTGAGCTTAAGGAGTGGTCATTACATTTCATTTTATTTCTAATAAAACGAATAAAGCATAGTTAAGTAGTGTTTGGTTCATTAGAATGGATTATAATGTAATGATCATTTCATCAAAATATTCATTTTCATGTTTGGTTAACTAAAAATAATAATAAAAAAAACATTAAAAATGGAATCACCATTTACTATTATAAAGGAATGATCCTTCTATAGGAGAATTTAAGAAATGATCATTCAACTCCGGTCCATTTTACTCTAATGAACCAAATGGAATACGATATATAGGAATCGAAGTAAACCAAACCAAACCAAACCAAGCCTTAAGTCACATCAAATGAGGTCAGTTATATGAATCATTCTTATCCTTCTTCTTCACGCGGCCCTATCAAAGGCCATTTCATTAGTCAAATTAAGTAGATTTATATCTCTATTTATAACGCTAGTCAACGTTAATCTAGGCTTACCTCGTCCCCTAACACTTCCATCTACCGTTACAGCATCGAAGTAACATTTGATAATTAAAAAAAGGAGAAATTACCACCCAATGGTATTTCTACAAAATTATTACAAGTTGATAGAAAATTTTAAGAATTTGATTATTAATATTTATAAAATTTCTCACTGATCTGTAATTATTTTTTAAAATGTACGCTGAATTTAAATTCCCCCTAGAAAAGACACTTTATGAATGTGCTAATTGTAATTTACCCCAAATACTATTTTATTTTATGTGGCATTTTCATTAAATTCATTAGTACATATATAAGTGTTTATTATAGTCATAAAAATTGATTACCATGAGTTCTTTCTAATCCTGCTCATTAAAACAAGAATCTATTGATAGGATTCTTGACAACTTGTGTTTACAATAGCGCACATTTGCAAATGGTTTATGCGAAATATATATTAATCTTTTTAATTGATATCAAAAGTTTACTAAATGAATAAAGGCCATATTTGTTTGGGCGGACTGGATTAGTATTCCCATGACTAATAGTCCCAGGACTACCAATCCGTTGGATTATGTATCCTATCTTAACTAATAGTCAAGTTTAAAATAATTAATCCGTACTTCAATTGTTTAACCAAACATCGGATTAATAATTTTATTGGACTATTAGTCCAATCCCAAACTCATGTCCACCCAAACAAACATGGCCAAAGTGTTTTGTCTTTACCAATTGAAATGTTATACAAATGTAGGAAGAAAATTGCATTTAGAAACAAGTTAAATCAACACCATAAAAAAATTAGAATAAATTACTTTTTATGATCGATTAATAATTGTTTAGTTTTTTTTTTTTTTTCATAGGAATTGTTTGGCGTTATAGTATCAGAAATTTACAATATGATAAAAGGAACAATTTAAAGAAATATAGCTTCTTCTTTCTTTCTTTTTTATAATAAAGATATAGAGCATAAAAATGGAAATTTATTTTATGTAAAAAGGTAAATTTATTAGAAAATTCTTTTTCTAGTGCTTATATTTCAATTAGTTAAAAACATATTCTTATATTCCAATAAATCTTATTGTTTGGATGTTTGATCTGCCAAATCTTAATTATCATATTTTAGATATTTTATGGATAATTTTACATTTACAAATATTTTTTAAACGCTTAGAAACTTGATATGCACTATTTTGGACTTTATATATATTAAATTTTAAAAATTTATAATTTTTTTGTACATTTTTTTAATGAAATTTATATTTTTGAAACCTAATTAACGAGATTTATCAAATAAAATCTCACTTAAATATTTAATTTTATAAAATAAAAATTAAATAAATAAATTTGACAGTATGAATGTTCACATCATAGAACATTTCCACTGTCAATGTCAATGTGAACATTAATGTGCACATCACCCTATTATCATTAGGGATATTTTGATAATTATGCCACCCATAAAACTTATTGAAACATAAAAATAATAATTTCAAATAAGTGAAATATAAGTAAGTTAAGAGTGATTTATAAATAAATGCCCCATGTAAAAAATATTAAATTCAAGTTCACCATATATTAAGATAGGTCAATTTAGCTAAATGATTTTCCATACTCATAATTTTTGTTC